AGGTCATAGTGAAAATTTATGATGTTAACCACCTTAACTCCTATTACTTTTGTAAATAAGCACTAATTGAAGAAAGGAACCACAAAGCAAGACTAAGTGCAACAAGGTGATGACTGAAGAGAAACGTTAAAAGACAGCCATAACGCCAGCGATGAAACAAAATTGTCCAATTTGCAATGCTAAAAACCAGTAAAGACAAGGATCAAAACGCAAGTCAACTTATACCTTTTGCATTTTCCACTTTGCTGCTAAGGTAATCGTTCTTGTGTACTGTGGATTTGTTTAGATCTGGTCTACATCGCTTAAAGCCTCGCCCAGATCATTTCCTGCCAAATGCTGTCTCAAATCAAAGATTTCAAATTAAAAAACCGGATTTGATATTTTAGAAAAACAATCATATACTCTCAATTTCAGAGTCGGAAAAAAAAAAAAAAAAAAAAAAAATGGAAACAATCAAGCACTTGTATTTTCTTCCATCACTTCCTAAAAAGAATATCATTCAGTCTTTTTGGCAAATTTTTTAGTGAATTTCTGGTTTAAAAAAAATGATCAGTGAAAAGTCATATCGTTGCGCTAGGAATACGACATATTTAAGAAAATAAATAAAACAATGAGTGAATAGGACAGTCTAATTCATGGGTCAAATTCAAACTAGTGGAATGTTACTAGTCAAGGGAGGGTTCGTTAATCTAGATGTCTGAAAACCCAAGTTAATTGCAGAACAAGGAAGGGTAGTATTAGCATGGTAACCACAGTTCACGTGCCTAAGTTTGAAATCAGACAATTAAGCCTCAAGTTCTTTAATAGAAAGCAACAATACGACAATGCAGTAGAATTCTTGTATATTCTAGTTAAACACGTTATAGATCTAGTCTTCAAGTATTCAAAACCTCCACCGCTCCACACTTGACTGCCACCATAATTTCACACCCCGAACCAACCAATGGCAACACCAGTTTATAACAACTCAGGCCCTCAACCTTATACCATGAATAACCACAACACCTTTGCTTTGGCTAAGCACAAATTATAGCTTCTTAGTTCATGAATGATTCACAAATTTTTCGTACTGTGGGGGAAAAAAACAGTATAATTAGAGATTCACAATAACCTACACATTTGAATACATGAGTAACTATGAAAAGGTAAGACGATAAATATTGAACTCAATTAACAACTAAAGCATAAATAGATTTAAACAAGCAGGGAAGCACTAAATCAGAAAACCAATTTCGTCACAACATCAACATGCTATCTATTTCCTCATGCAAACAAATAGTGTTTTTTTATCAACAATATATACAGATAAAAGAATAAAAAGGGAAATTCAACTGCAAGCAAAATAAAAATACCATGTTAATCAAATCTGGCAAAGAATAAATGAAAAAATAATATGAAACAAATAAAGAAAAACGAAATGCAAGGTAGATTTTGCTAACTGGATTTCAGAGACCCAAGGAGTAGGCGCTGATCATCTTTGTCAAACAAGTTGACCCAACATGCTTAAGCTTTTAGGGTAATTGCCTCGCACATTGCACAACCAAAGCTACACCAGAGAGAGGCCACAGATGACAACTACTACATAGAAACTGCAATCTATGAAAATATCACGTATTGTTTGGTGCAACACCAAACCCATCTCCAAGACATTCACTGCTCCAGCCCAATTATGCCCATTTTCTTGAGGAAACTGACTTTCGTCGTGGAAGTCCTAAAGGATTCATCACTCCGACTATACTATAGGTGAAGAGAAGAGGGGAATTCACTGGACAGAAACAGAAATCATAACGATTAAAATCACAGAAATAGGCGATTATAACAAGGTACCTTCGTCCTTGCTCACTCGCTGGTAGAACTGAACAACAGTGACTGGTCGTTGGCCTTCGTCACTCCCCTCTGGTCGCTGCTCGCTGATCGCTACTCGCTGTTCATTGTCTTCTTCGTCGCACGAAAGTCGTCATATGGCTAGGGCGCTGTTTTACAGAGAGGCGGAGAGAGAGGGCTGCTGCACTGAACGAATGGTTATGATATTAGGGCTTGCAATTAGGTCATTGTAGGAAAGGGTATTTTAGGCAACACATAAAATAGGAAGAAGGGTATTTTAGGCAACAGAAATATGAAACGGTATTTTTTCATGTGCCACCTCAACTTTTGGGTCAAACTCATTTTAGAGAAATATGGGACTTTGACTTAGCCTAGTAGTAAATATGGAACCCTAACCCCATTTATATGTAATAATCCCATTAAAAAAAATAAATGCGACACAAGTAGTGTCCCTAAACTCTTGACACTAACATTGAAAGGCTGATTAGTTATGATGTATTGTTGTGATATTAAATGTCATATTCAATTTGGATTTGATAAATAGACGTGATTAAATTTCAATATTTGAATTAGTGCTAAATTATATAATATCTTACAAGATTACTGAATTATTTTGATAAAATATATATAAAAAATAAATAACTTAATTTAATTAATGATTTAATTTAATCAAATCTTAACCTGATTCAAAATTGATCCATTTATAATGGAATTTCTTAATTAATATTTCTATTCTAAACTAGTACTGCATTTGAGATTGGATCGAAATCCAATCCATTGATGGTGTTCCTAATAGAATGTTTAGTGTCATAATTGAGCAATATAAAAGTGTCTTAGCGTAAAAGTAGGTTAAATGTCTATTGAAGATCTGACCATCTTGGCCTTTTTAAACCATGATAAAATAATAATAATAAATAAATAAATAAATAAAAAATCCCATGATAAAAGAAATAAAGATAAAACTGCCCAAAATAAATTCCTTAAATTAATAAATAAAAACTAATGAAAAAATATTAATTTAAAATCATAAATTGATATGCATACACTTGATAAGAATTAAACACTTTTACTTAAAAGTTTTTCACTGCTTGGGGTTTGGTTTGGAACTCTAAATATAAAGAAAAATTGTCTTACACTTTATAAGAATTAAGGCTCCATTTGTTTGGACGTAAAATATTTTTCAAAAAATATTTTTTTATTTCCTGGTGTTTGATTGTTATAAAATATTTACGAAGAAAAAAAATATTAAAATTTAACAAAAATAATTTATTCATCAATTTTCGACAAATTATTTTACATGTCCCTCCCGATGGATTCAACCTCAACCTCGACGCATACCTTTACCAAACACGGACAAAATAAAAATAAAAGAATATTTTACCTGAAAAAAAAAAATATTTTACGCTAAAACAAACGTAGCCTAAACGTTTCGAGTAAAGGTTTTTCACTATTTAGAGTCTAGTTTCAAACAGTAAATATGAAGAAAGAAATAGGACAAATTTATATTGCTAAAAGAAAAGAAATCTAATGTGCCATGTAATTAAATAGTGAAGGATATGAAGCTAAATATGAATTTTTATTTTCTTTACATGACTAAATTTATTATTTCAAACATCATTTTTAGATTACTAGCAATTGAAGATCCGGGACAAGCGGAATTGAGACCCATTAAACATTTCAGGTTAAATTGTTCTGAAAAGTTTTGTTATGCCCAGGCCCAATCTACCTTGGCGCTACAAGCCTAATTCAAAGCGGACTTCAACAGTTGAAATTAGGCCCTAATTAGAGACGAATTTGGTCCAATTTCTGGTAACGTTGAATCTGGCCCAACTACAAGCCAATTTTCAAAATAATAATAATAATTAATTAAATTTTAAGGGGATAACTGTGGCTTCAACCTATGGTTCATGCTTTGCCTTTGCAAGGACTTAAGACATTTTGCCTTTAAAAGCACTTAAACCTTCACCTTTTTACTTTTGCAGGTGAGAAAGTGCCCCTAAACTACTGTTATTGATGGTCCTATAATGTTTATTCGATCTTAGAAAATCCCACAAAATATCACAATATTAGCGGTCACATAATTCGATTTTAGAAAATCCCATAAAATATTACATAATTCAATCTTATATATTGATGTCTACTTTTGGAACAACTTTTTAACACAAGGAAAATGATAAGGGTGCCAAAGGTGATATTTATTTTATTTTAATAGTATAGTTTTGTATTTGTTTATGTTATTGGTAATGTCCACCAAAAAGAAGATAAAAAGGTTAACTTTATAATGAATTTGATGGACTCAAGAAGGAACATAGCAACGATGGTGGAGTCTTTACTTATTCTACCGTAGGTTTCAACTCCAAGGAGAAATGAGGAATCAAGAAAAATATTGTTTCTACCTGAAGAATCAAGAATTTTAAATTGAATATGGATTAACAATTATAAATATTGTTGTTATAATTGCGTGGTTTGATTAATTTTATTTGTTTTAGAATTCTAAGTTGAATAAAAATTAATAATTATAATTGTTGTTATTATAATTATTATATTTAAAAAAAAAAAAAAAAAAAAGCCAAACACTTTTATACTAATTGATATATAGATATAGATAATTTATAACAAGCTAGAGAAAGAGTACGTGTATTGTCGAATTTTTAATTGCAAATTTTTTGTTTAAAATAAAAAAATCATCAAGATCCGTTTGGTATGCGCTTTGTTTTTGGCTAAAACAAAAATAGTATTTTTGTTATAAGAGTGCTTTGAAAAAAAAATCAAAGGCACGTTTGAGAATGATATTTTGTTATAGAAATGTCGAAAATGAAATATACACAGTTATGGTTCTGGGTTATGAATAGTTATCAAAACAAGAAAAAAATATCTTTTTGATATTTTGGTTTTAGACCACTATCCACAAAGTCTTTAGTACTGTCTAAATTAAAATAAGGTCGAACCGAACATATTTTTATTGTCAAAAACGACACTATAACAATCTAAAATAAAAAAATAACATAAACAAAACACTTGCCAAAAGCTTAAAAATGTTCACAAAAATGCTCCAGACGGTCCGACGGAACCCGGAATCGCGTTCATAAAAATGTGTAAATCTCAACCGTCGAAGAGAACACGTGACAGCCGTCAGATCTTGGGCATTGGGTAGTCTGTAGGGTTTTAATTCGCTCGTCCAGACCAAACAAAACCCTTCGTTTCAGCCTCAATCTAGAGAGAGAAAAAGAGAGAGAAGCTTCAAGTCTCCCGAAGATGGTGCAGCGCTTAACCTACCGCAAGCGCCATAGCTATGCCACCAAATCCAACCAGCACAGGGTCGTCAAAACACCTGGTACACACACAAACACACACACATATATATTAACATCGTTATGTATGATCTGTTTACCTTATTGTTCCATTGACCTACAAATCTGATTACACATCTTCCTTTTGATGTTAGATTAGATCTGGGTTCAGAGTGATTTATTCTTGCATTTACTTGTCATCATTCAAATAAACCCTACTGATTTGTTCATCTATGTTCATCTTTTCTTACTTGTATGGTAATATGTAAACAAGTATGTTCTATAAGTGGTGTTACTTATTTGTTGGCACCTATTGATATATAGGTGGAAAGCTGGTGTACCAGAGCACCAAGAAGAGAGCAAGGGGGCCGAAGTGTCCTGTTACTGGAAAGAGAATCCAAGGGGTATGTGTTTTCACTTTCTTATCATGATTGTACATTTGGTCTAAGCTTGTTATCTCATGTCATATGATTCATTCGAGTGTAAATTAGAAATCCTATTAAATGATGCACTGCACATGTTTTTCCTCAGTTAGTCTGTGTAACTATATTTTACATTGAGTTTCTTAGATTTTTTGATAACTGACATGAAGTTATGTTGCATCAAATGGGTATTGTTTGGGCATTAGTAGATGATTTAGTGCTGGGCTTGATCGAAGAATGAGTGATGTTTTCACTTTCTTATCATGATTGTACATTTGGTCTAAGCTTGTTATCTCATGTCATATGATTCATTCGAGTGTAAATTAGAAATCCTATTAAATGATGCAATGCACATGTTTTTCCTCAGTTAGTCTGTGTAACTATATTTTACATTGAGTTTCTTAGATTTTTTGATAACTGACATGAAGTTATGTTGCATCAAATGGGTATTGTTTGGGCATTAGTAGATGATTTAGTGCTGGGCTTGATCGAAGAATGAGTGATGGATTATTGTTAATCACAAGTTTGCAATATTTTAATGGGATGCATACATGTTCTCTATTAGTGTCCTATCTTGCTTTACATTGATTTTGTATCTTTTTTTGGTGTTTTATTTTTCTAGTCTTCAAATTGTAGGATGGAAGGGCATTGTTGTTTCTTTTGGTGTAATACAGTAGAGTCAGCATATGTACTTTAGGGGCACTTTGGTTCAATTTAACAGAAAACAGAATAGCAGAAATGGCTTTCAAAGAACTACAAAAGACAATTCTCTAAATTCAGGCTTTTAACTCAGTTTTCAGAAAACAATTAGTCGAAGGAATTTTTTCAAACTGTTTTGTTTTCCAGTCTTTGGAAAAAGAAAACTGAACAAGCAGACCCATATTCACTTTGAAAGATAGACGGTAAATATCTGCATTGTTATGTAGAAAACTTCTTGTAAATTTGGACTGTACCCTTTTCAATAGTTTGGCAAGTTGGCATTGTGCGTCTCCAATGTAGTCATGGTGCAAAGTCTCCATCTAACATATATTTGTAAGCCCTTAGGCCCCTTACCTTTGAGAGATCACTTGTGTTTTCTCTTTCTACTCCTTGATGTTAGCCATAATAGATTCCTGGTATATGCCTTCTCTTCTCTTCTCTTCTCTTACTTTTGTTTGTTTCAGTTTCCTTTAAGATCTTTCTACTTCCTGTAAATTTTTGTTATGTTGTAAGGCTTTGTTTATTTATACATGACTTGAAAATGTTGGAGGAACCTGGAGATGCACCTCTTGTTACGATGTGAGAAAAGGTGTTCTGTCGAGTTCATTGGTATACTCTCTATATCAGTTTTTCATGTGATTGTTTTTTAATTTTAAGTTGATTGAAAAGAAGTTAACACGGCCAGTTTCTTGCAGTAACTCTAAAATATAATACCAAGCTTTTTGAAGCATTCATAGCCTTGTTTTTTTTTATGATCCATTGTGCAAAGCTTTGTATTAATGTAATTCGAAAAAAAATAAAGGTTGAAACAAATGCATTGTCTATGATGCAAGCAGCTTTACACATTGCACATATGCTTTTCCAATAATTGCTGAAATTGCATTTGTGATGTTAATTGCCCAGTTTAGCAGTTATTTCATGAAAAAAAATTGAGGGTTTGGAGGAGTTTATTATTACTTTTCTCTGATAAACATTTGGAGCAGGTTATTTAAGATTTTGATCTTATAAGACTGACACCTTGTAATACTGTTATTAAACATATGTTAAATTTAGGAGACACAATATGCTTTGGGGAATGTTGCTGTTGTTTTGAGGATGTTGTTAAGAGAATATAAATTTACTTACGGAATCATGTTTTTGAAACATTATTACTCTTGTTGTTGTTGTTGTTGTACTTTATTAAATGAAATGGCCCAAATGGGTTATAGAAGATACCAAAAGGTAGAGACAACAGTATGCTGTTCTTTACCATATAGAAATTGATCAAAATGTAAATGTGGGCTTATAAATTGAATGAATATGATATTTTCTCCGCTACAAAATACTAATTTATGCTTTTGGATCCAGCGATTTATCTTTCCTATTATTTTTTGTCCAAAAATTGTGCTTCTGTGGTGATAAGTGGACCCAAGTAGTTGGGAAAAGGCTTTGCTTCTTGTTGTTATTGTTGTACTCTGTTGGTTCCATTTCTTGGTGAGATTTGTTAATCTTGAGACCTATTGTCTTGGATATTTTATTTTGTAATATTGAAAAGCTGTTGGTATACAGATTTTAAATTTACTATGATGTTACCTGTTTCATTGAGAGTGTTCCTCATGATCATTTCTATTCTGGTTCGGTCATTAATTTTAATCTTGTTTAGAATTGTGTTGGTCTCCTGACTGCTGCATGAAGTAATGAATTTGGTGTTGCAAGTTTTGAAGTTGTAAAAATATCCTTGTTTTGAACACTTGTATCCTTGTATCTCTCTCTGAAGTGATTATCCAATTGTTTGCTTTACCTGCAGATTCCTCACTTGAGGCCTGCTGAATACAAGAGGTCTAGATTGCCTAGGAACAGGAGGACCGTGAACCGTGCTTACGGTGGTGTATTATCTGGTGGTGCTGTCCGTGAGAGGTTTGTTCTTTTGACATACTCCTGTTCATCCAAATAAATAAATGGATTAGAAGTTTTTTTCACCATATTTTTCTACATATTAGTACATAATGCAAAAGCCTTTTTTAAGAAGTTATTTATTTTTGTACAGTTCTATTCAAAGATTTGGGTGATTATATATCGGTGTCTTGTAGGATCATCCGTGCATTCTTGGTGGAGGAGCAAAAGATTGTGAAGAAGGTTCTAAAGATTCAGAAGACAAAAGAAAAGCAGGCAGGAAAGAGCTAAAGATGAGTTAATGTTGTCAAAAGAAATTTTGACTTTGATAGATGATTACAAGATGTGCACTATATTATTGTGAGGTGATTGTTTTTGAATTTAAATGAGCATTTATCTTGAGTTGATTTTGATTTCTCATTTCAGCAAATTTCATGCTGGGATTTTGGCAATCATATTTGTTGAATGATCTGCAATATGATGTATGGCGATATTTTTTGCTTTTGGTCCTGCCTGGTATTTCTAGTTCCATGTTTTTTTTATGAGAATTTGGATAGAGACAGACAATCTTGCTTGGGATGGGAGTTTGGTAGGATTACCATTGGTCCATGTGACAATTACTGAATGGCCAACACGCACCACATACACATGTATATTATGTGCGTATGGGGCAATTGTTTGGTTCATAAAACTGTGTTAGTGATGTGAGACTAGGTTGTCATTTTGTTCTAGTCTAGATGGATTGTTTTCCTTGTACAAGACTTGAGGTCTTATTCTTCAAGTCCAGGACATTGTAATGCTCCTAGGAATGTTCTCTCATTTGACTTCTGGTCAATTATTCTCTGCATGGTACTCATCATCCTTGTCCTGCTCTTCACAGGGGACTGGAAACACTGTGATTTGCTATGCTAGGCTAGATGTTATGGGCGTAAGTAGCAAGTTTTTCAAATATTCCAAATACTTTGCATGTAAATTAGCCCCAATTCATACCCTTCCATGTATATTTTGCGCTTAAGATCTTAAAAGATCTATTTTTTGCAATCAAGGGTTCAAGATTGGTTATAAATAGTGTAATTAACAGGGGGTTCATCATTCTTTTGCTTAGTGTTGTGAGTTCCAACATCCAGCCAACATAGGAATTCCAACTCCAGCTATTCCGGCCATCAGTCGACTCAAGCTCTGAGATGCTTTACTAGTCAAATTGTTCCTTTAAAGTTTTTAATATTTGCTTGATGAGATCTCTTTTTGTTCTGGTATTATTCAAAGTATTGAGACAAATTGAGAAATATATATAGCTCCTAGTTACATTTTCCATCTAGCTTTTAGAACACGTTAGGCTAGTACTTCTTTTAAGGTTTGGTTTTAAAGAGACATAAGAATGCTTTGATTGGCACCATCATATTGTGCTATAGGCCTTTAGGAGAAGAAAGGTAGAGTGGGCTTCTTGTTGCTTGCTAGGATGAGAAATTTTTACATGGTCCCAGCCAATCACAACTTGACACGCTAGCAAATATGTTGTGGCTTTATTCAGGGTTTTGCTTGTGATTGGCCAGGACCATGTAATAATTTCTCTGCTTGGATTGGCATGGCTGTCCCCCTTTGCTGGTTAACGCTTTAAATATGTTATTGATGTCTTGCCACTTGTTTTGAAGTGGATGCATTGTGAGTTTTGTCGATTGGAAGCTTGCACTGTCAACTTGGGAGGATCTTGAGGCCTTGGCTGGCCTCTTTGATGGTTAAAGCTTCCATGAGAAAACTACTACGCAAGCCTTTCTTTTCAACAATCTGTGCAAGTTTGTCAATAACATGAACCATTGTTGTTAACTTCTCAACTGAGGTAAATGTTGCAACTGCTGAGGAAGAAGGGGGGTTATTAGAGTCATTTAAGGATATCCTGAAAGACAGCCTTTGGCACAACCATTTGTTTGAGTGTGTTAGGGACAGGCAAATGAAGACCTTGCCTATTACTGCAAAGTTTTTTGGGAAAAGGTGTTTTTTAATGTTTGTGAATCACTTTCCCTTGGCTCAAAGAGGCAAGGACAATGGATGATGTATGAAGCTTTGCATAATTTGGTGTATGTCAGTTGTCATAGCATACTCAATTGTAAGTGAAACAATTGTCATATTCTTGCTATATGTCTCAGTAGAGGTAAAACCTTCTTGTGGCTCATTGTTGCCCAAGCAATTATATAACCTTGTTAGAACCCATTGCTTTTGATGGATAGAAGTTAGAGGCAGACATATCTCGCTGTTGTTGGTAGGGCTGCTGTTGTTGAATCGAGGTTGCTCGTTTGTGGGTTCGAAAAGCTGAGCTTGGGCTCAACTTGTTTATTGTTTAATAAATAAACGAGCCTATGTTCGTGAACCCATACAGTATATGTGTGTGAACAGACTGTGTGTGTGAACAGACTGTGTGTGTGAACTTTTCATGTTCACGAGCCTAGATGAATTGAGCCCTATATGTTACGGGAATGGGCCTTTAGATAAACAAAGGATAAAAGAAATTTGGACCAATTCTGTTTTAAGTCCACTATCTGATCGTTGGCCTGGGCCAATTCAACCCAACCGCATTACTCTTACAAATGTTGGGAGTTTATAGTTAAGTGTTTTATTGTGTCAGGCAATTATTTACTCAAAACTTTGGTGGTAATATGTTAGTGCCACGAGGCATGTGAGTACAACCTTTTAAGTCTATGTAGTTAAAAAGTTCATGAAGAACATGGTTAGAAATTCGCATTCTCAATCACATACGTAACAAGTTGTGTTTTTAAAAAAAAAAAAAATTTCAATACATTTTAAAAACTAAATGTTCAGGGCCACTCTAGAGATTTTTTTTTTGATAATTACTTTGTGCAGGATGGGAATAGTGTCAGAATTCTTATCTTATGCTCCGTTCGATAGAAAGGAAGAAAATTGAATGGAAGGGAGAGAAGAAAGGAAGGATAAGATGTCCCTAGGGAAGTGATTACGATCTTCTCTCGTTTTGTTCAGTTAGATGAAAAAGAAGAGAATAAGCTGACAATTTACTTTGTTTGTTAAGACGAAAGGGAAAGAAAATTTTAAATTCTTTTTCCCATTATACATTCACTATTTTTACTACTCATTTGAACCTTTATTATGCATTCCATTAATTTCAAATTTGTTGTTTGTCTTATATATATATATATATAGTAGAATCATATTTCATTATTAAAAAAAGAAAAGAAAAAATAACCACTATCTACATGCCTGGAACACAGAGAGGGATTCAATCACAGGGATTCAAATATCTAATCCTATGATCCTACCTACCGCATGCGCATTGCTGTGCATTTAACCTCAAAAGCTCATTTAGTTCTCTCTTTACACACGCGCGCGTATTTATGTATGGGTTGATAAATGTGAATCTATTTGGGTTTCTCAAAAAGCCTGGCAGATAAATTGAACTTGATTTGGAGACTTTTAACGATTCTTTATTAGGGTTTTGCTTGAGATGAGATTGTAGAGTTTATTAATATTTGTGAAGGATAATTTTGTAATTTAACTTTTTTATAATAGTTTTACTTGTTTTCTACTGTGTCTTCTGCCTAAATTTGAGCGAATGAAAATTTATAAAGAAGGAGGGATGAGTCATTTCTCCTATTTTCTTTTCTCTCGTGTCTCATTCCTACCCAATGACAGAACTTTGTTCCTTCTATTTTTCCTCCACTTATCTTCTTTCCTTCTTACCAAACTAAGCATTAATCGCATATTTATGATTATAAGAGCACATAAATGCAGACTGAATGTTTGGATCAAAGTTAATTCGATTAGTAAACGAGCTATGTCCAAACAAGTCATGACTGGATTTATTAGCCTCTTTCACAAACAATTGTTGTAAACATCCGCGTGACTAAACTCTTTTATCAAGAATTGTTTGGAACTAAAATTAATTTTTTGCTTATCAATATTGATCTAAAGCTCGAGAACGAGTTTTTAATTGGCTAGACAACCTAGCGAGCTCACTTTTATTAGAACAACAGAATTACAGTTTGGCTCGACTTGGGAGTGGCAATTAGTATTGTCTTCATGTGAACATGTTGTGTCATGAATGGTTTGGTTTTTTTACAGGGTAAAGTGTATTAAACTCCTCTGAACTACTGGGGTATGTGCAAGAAATTCCCCTGAATTATAAAAATTACAAAAAATCCCCCTGAACTATTGGGGTATGTGCAAGAAATTTCCCTGAACTATAAAAGTTGCAAAAAACCCCCCTGAACTATTGGGGTATGTGCAAGAAACCCCCCTGAACTATATATTTTTTTGCAGTTTATCCCATCCGCGCGAATTGATTGACTGAAAGAGAAGATGAAGCCGAGGAATTTGTTGCTGGGATCGGTGGGTCTCCTGTCATAGCTCCATCATAGCCATTGCACCACCCGCCAGATCCATCAGCTATATATATCGCACTTCTCTGCACCGTTGCGTCAGCCCATCACCGTCACCGCCTTGCCCGCCGTTCAGCTCACCTTGCTCGCCGGTCCATTCCATCGTCCATTCCAAGCTCGCTGGCTCATTCCGCCATCTCCATAACCAAGCACACCGCCGTTCGTGTTTCGAGCACACAGCCGTCCACAGTTCACCGCCGAGCCCCCTTGAGCTCACCGCCGCCTCCACAGTTCATGGCCGAGTCAACCGAGCTCTCATCACAGCCAAGTCCTCCGCGCACAAGCCGCCATCATCCGAGACCGAGCCATTCCGCCGACCTCGGATTTCTTTGGTCTTTTCTCTCTCTTTCTAGCTCTCTGTTTTGGGTTGTGTTGGGTGAAAAATATTTTTTGACAGAAAAAAAATGTAAGAAGTGTATAAGTTAAAACGATGCAGTGTTTTATAAGGGTAAACTGGTCTTTCAAAATTTTAGGTGCCGGAAGTTGATGTCATGGGGGTAAATTGCAAGAAAATTATAGTTCAGGGGGGTAAATTGCAACAAAATCATAGTTCAAGAGGGTTTTTTGTAGTTTAGGGGGATTTCTTGCAAATGACCAATAGTTCAAGGGGATAAATTGCAATAAAATCATAGTTCATGAAAATTTTTTGTAGTTCAGGAGAATTTCTTGCAAATGATTAATAATTCAAAGGGATTTAATGCACTTTACCCTTTTTTTATATAAGTTGATACTATGACATGATTATTATCCCCTCATGAACACCATATAAGTAACACTAAATAAATTAGTTAAAATGTTTAATAAATTGATCAAGATTTGATGTGACTTAACAAAATACGTTTAATTCATTTGATTAGCGTAACAATTCGGTTGGAGACAAAATTACGGCCTGAGTTTGACCTGTGAGATTCAAATTGACTTTGTAAAAGTTTAATTACCATTTTACCCTTATGATTTAAATCTTCTAAGTGGCTATGTCAGTCATCCTAGGGATTATATGATACGAAATTAATTCATTTCGTCCTACGTCCATTTCTAGAGTCCTCAAGCTTTCAAAACAAATGCATCATGCATTTACTTTACATTCACGCCTAACAATCACTAACCTATACTACCATGACCATGACCATGACCTTGACCATCATATCATCATCATAATAATCCATGAGTCCACATGAGTTTTGAGTACTTCAGCAATATGAATAAATAATCTTTGAATAAGCACAATCAACTAAATTATTAAATTCTCGATCAAGATTTTGTGGTCCAATAGTATTTTCTCTATTTATCAAAATATATAGTGATGATTCAACTCTCTAAAATAGCAAAGTGGGTGTGAGTTTTTTACCAAAAAAAAAAAAAAATTCATATTAAAATTATCCAAATGTTCTTATTGAAACTTTAAAATTAGGGAAATGATAGGTTTTTCGACTTCAATTGTCGACTCATCTTCTGAATACAACGTGGTTGGATCACGTTGGAACTCTCAAAACAAAATCCCGTAAACATCTCTTTCTTTTCAACTCATTTCCAACCACGTTGTATTCGGAGAATGAGTCGGCAATTGAAGTCGGAAGACCTATCACTTCTCTTAAAATTAACATCACTTATCTCATATTGAGTTAGTGAGTTATGCCACTCTTAACTCTGACTCATTTGCAAGTCTAAATTTTAATGCAAAAATAAAAATAAAAGAAAGTTACAAAAAACATGTTATGGCAAAAAAGAGTGATTTTTTATTTTACTTATTTTTTTAACAAGGTTATCGAGGTTCGAATTCCTAACCTCCTTTTAGGAAGTAGGGGTCTAATAAAGTTAAGCCACAGGCTTGTTGATAAAAATAAAATTAAAAACTAAAAAAATAATAATTAAATAACAGAAAAACGGGGTTGAAATTTCCATGTCACGTAGCATGTGTGACAATTCGTGTTCACGGATCATACCATATTATGTCGACTTATGAGTATTCTGCTAAATAGTTCAACACTCATTTAATAATCATCAGAAACACTCTATACGAACACGATACGTTTATTAAACGAGTTACATAGACAACATATTTAATTTGTTTAATTTAAATGAGTCATGTGATCTATTTATTAATATAAGTATAAAAAATAAAAATACAAACAAAGAAATGGAGACAATAGAATACAAAATTCATGAAAATATGAATAATTTAGACAATACAAGCACAAAAAAGTCCAAATATGATAGCCATATTGAATTGGTATGAAAATAATAAAAATGTCCGAATTAATTGGGGTAAAATAGGTTACGAGTTATTATTTAGGGAAAAGAAAAAAGGTTACGAGTTAATTGCGTTGATTTGACATAATTAATTAAACAGGTCTCATTAGGTCAATCGGATTGAGTTAAAAAATATAAGCACACAATTATGACACGAACACAATTAAGGTTAACCAAAACCTCTGAAATTATCCGGTGAGTAACAGGTGGACGCTTGCCCATTTATCCAAAATCTTAAGTTATTGGGTAGTACTGCATACTAAACCATTTATACTTATTTCACTTTCTATCCAGATTTAACGTAGGACAAGTCTTCCCCATCCGAACTCGCAACGCCTTCATTACGGTGGGGCCACCTTGCCTACCCAAGTGGTAGGCCCGGACGCTTGGCATGGCGCCAGATCAAGGATTGAGTCTATCTTTGATACCAAATGTAATGGGTGACGCTTGTCTATTTACCAAAAAATTAAAGTTATTAGGTAGTGCTACATACCTACCTATTTATACCAATTTTACTTTTTCATCAGGATTCGGTGTGGGACAAATCTCCCCCGTGACACTTAGTTACTATAAAGTCCAATTCCTCTGGTAAGTGCGCCAGTGTTTGAGTCCCCCTCCTAGTTTGTTGAATTTTTTATTTTTTATTTTTAAAAAAAGAAATAAATGAAACCTATTCCTGAGGTAGGGAGGGCTCACTACTATCGTACAGTCCCGATTCATTCTCCAAGAAACTGCAACGATAATCGAGCAACGCTACGGGGTATCACTCTGTATAAGATTTCTTCGAAGCCGATACGCCGAAGACGAGTAGAGGGAGAGAGACAATGGAGTCGCCGGGACAGTGGTTGGAAAAGGAGTTGATTGAACTCTGCAAAAAGTTAGAGACGGGTCTGGATTTGGACAGCGAAGTCATATCAGGCCTCGTCTCTTACTGTGAGCTTGCTCCTCCCCTAGACGCCAAAGAATACCTGGATGTAATCTCTCTCTATACACATATATATACACGCATATATTCTTTTTGCCCTTTTAAATTTCAATGATTATATGCTTGTATCATTACAATTTTCGTCTTCTGATATTGTGTGAAATTTTGGGTTCAACTTTGTGAACATCGTCATATGAAAACAAAAAATCTCTGTGAACATTGATCAAATCAGTTGCTTTCTAATTCTTCATTTCATGGTTATAGCAACTCCTGGAAATCTAATAGTTTTCATAAAAGTGAGGTATTGGATGCCCCTACTGTCACATGCAATTGAACCCTATTCTTTTTATTTTTATTTTTTTTTGTTTTGAAAAACGTAGGAATTCTGTATGTGTATGTATAGATGTATATATAAATATATATATATATATATATATATAGAGAGAGAGAGAGAGAGAGAGTAGCTTTACATAGGTTTTTTTTTTATTTTTTTATTTTTTTTATTTAGATTTATTGATTTTAGACCAATATGATATAGTAGTTTATTTAATTCATCTGTAGATGATTTCAAGTTTGCGGTATGCAGTTGATATTCTTGCAAATTCATGGAGGATGGTGGTGTATCATACCTTATTTATGTAAAAAAGAAGAAGAAACATAGAATGGAGTGAACCCATTGTCTGTAGTTTATGTGTTGTATGATAATACTTTACATGTATCAAAACTTGACCAGTGCTGTTGTAGTAAAAACTCTATCAGTTTGTATAACATTGAATAGACGCATATAAAAGGTTGAATTATAAGATTATGGCAAATATATTAGAACATGAAAAGATGCATAGGGTAGGCTATGGCCTATGTGCAAAGGTTGTACCATTGCACCACAATACTTCTCTCTCTCTCTCTCTATATATATATATATATGTTATGGATATTCTGTTTTAGTGGGTTAACTGGGTTTAAGTGTATGGGACCTTATTTAACTATGATAGAAAATTTGTTTCCAGTAGTGGTATTTACAACCTTTTACCTTCTTTTCTTAATTTATTGTACCTATGGTGAGGTTTAGTGTCAGGACCTGCCCCACAGTGTGTTTACACAGTCTTGGTATAGAGGTAGGAGGCATTCCCCCTTATAAGCGCTAGCAACTTCTCCCACTAGGCGATGTGGGACGTCACAATTAGCATGAACCTTAGTAATATATGTATGAAGAACATATAATTGGTGAAGAGAGAATATATAAGCCTTACTTCATTTATTTTTTGATAAGTAACATATTAGCCTTACTTTGTTTTACACATTTTACAACTTATTCAATGATGTAAGCAATTAATTCAAGTAATAGATAAATAATGTAAGCTATCCCATGTAGAATGCAAAATGAGAGAGAAGACCATTTTGACTAATTAGAATTTAGCAAGGTTAGAAGGTAGAAATAGTGAGGTTGTATTGAGTTATCGAGTATATAATTAATCCGGTGAGAAGAAATTACAAAGGAAATAATGTTTTTGGAATTAATTACTATTGCGAGTAAAGTGGAATAATGCTCTGTCTGATACGATGATGGAAAAAAGATGGACGAAAAGGTAGGAGGAATGGAGAAGGTGCCGTAGGGAAAGCAAGTTGATCCTTCCTTTTGTTTAGTTGTGCCAGAAGGAAACAGTGGTTACTTGTTTTTACTATCAACCTATATATGTTAAAATATGTATGAAGAGTGAAAACTTATAGACGGAGTAATACATATTGGACTCCTTTCTTCCCATCCTCCTTTCCATCCCGAGGCTTTATCTATTCCTTCGTCTCATTTTGTTCTACTAAATGATGGTAACTCTATTAATCCCTCCCTTTTCCCTTTTCTCCTTTTCCTTCCTCCCAATCTTCCAACCAGATTTTAAGTAATTGTAATAGACAAGGGAATAATTGTTATTAAGTAAATGAAAAAGATAGCTCAAGCATGTGGTGTTACCAATAGCATTTCTTACCAGCGAGGTAAATGACATTTTTTCATGTAAAGTGGATTTGGTAAGTAATTAGAATTGTAATTGAGGTAAATAAATTACGGTTGTTTATTCTACTCAGTTGTTAATATCTTAGGTAAAAGCCCATATTACAAGGATACTTGAGAAATCCATGGAAATCAGATTATTCAGGATTCAGGAACATTTTATGTGATTTGGTAGCCTATGGAGCCTGGCAATAGAAAACAACCACTTTTCACATATCTTTCTTCAAAAGAAGCTTCCTAAAGCTCTGGAAGGTGCTGTAAGGTTAGCGAAGAATCAAAAAAGCTAGCGCTTGAGTGAATAGCCGACCCCATGCAACTTTCTCAGTATATTATAATAATAGCAATAGTGCTAATGCTAATGATGTTCCTTGGCAAGCAAAGCCTAAGGGTTCACAGGTTGTGGGCCTGCCCCTGGTGTACCTTGTCTAAAGTGAAGGCATTAGGCCTTCTTCGCAACTAACAAAGAGAACTAGCATTTTTTCTTGCCTTCTCTTTCTGGAAGGGACCCTGCCATATATCTGATACCAATCATTGCATTTTCTCAGCTATGGATGATTGATTTGGGCAGTTCCCTTTCTACCATTATTCTTCCTGGGTTGGGCAACCTTATATAAATTGGGGTGACATAATATGCTTAGCGGTCCTTTCTTTGTGGTTGGTTCAAAGTGGAGCTGGGGATTTTTTTTTTCCCTCAAATTGTTAGATCTTTTTTTTAAAGGGTTGTAATGCATGAATGCATTTAAATACTATTTATTATAGTAATATATATTAACGTTAGTTTGTCGGAAGTAATGCAATTTTTTCCTTTTGTGGACAAGGCTACAAGCACTAAAATGTTAGAAAGTTTGTATTAAAAAAAAAGTAGTTCAAATGAAAAGGAGGAGGAGGTGATGGTGATTGTGTGGATTGTTGTGAAAAAGATCAAATAATGGTAAAAAGGGAGGAAAAAAAATGGAAGCATATGTTACAAAAAATGGAAAAAAAAGGAATAGTTTGATAATGTTTGGGCAAAATTTGGAAGGGGTAAAAAAGAAGTGGGAACCGGAAATCTAAAATATATGTAGATTGTTTTATGGCCATGCTTTGGCTTTTAATTGATTAAATGCTCTTCATTTACTAAGATGATGTCAGTTAGTGAATGTGGCTGGGGCTTAAACTGACTGTAATCATGAGATTGAGTTTATTTTGTTGAAAAAGAAGTTGACAATATTAATGCAAGTTTTGGAGGACAAAAAGGAACTGAGGAGAACTATAGTTGAATATGGAAACTCTCACTCACTAGAGACATCTTTACACCACTTAAAAAGTTAAATATCCTACACTTCTACAATTTTTTATTTATACAAATATACTTCCTCATTTCTTCATTTGCTTCTACATAAGATAATATTCAATACCAATCAATACCAATGAAGGGACCTTCACCTCTTCCAATCCAATAGTTCCATTTTCCTTATTGTTCATCAAGAGTATTTGACAATTTTGACTGCTTTGGACTTTCTATTTCCTTTTGGGCTGAGAGCATGCGGAACTATAGAAGCGACGGGTGCAGTGCAGGTTCTATTTCCTACCTATGTTCATGTTTGTCAATGTATCTTATGTTTCACATTGCGTGTTGCGATTTAGTTAGAATATCAAATGAAACCTGATTTGACAACTATTTCTACGTAGCTAATTTTCAAAGAGTAAAGGTTCACCATTAGTGTTGGCCTAATATTTTTTGCTATTTTAGGTGTTATTCCATTTTTGGCGGCACCATGTTCTTTTGCTTTGAAAAACAGTAACCACATCTTTAGAATTGTGAGAACAGTAACCACATCTTTCTTATTCTGTAATCATACATTCTGAAAATGAAATTGTTTTGTTCTTTTTTGAGTATCTACCCGGAGCTGTAACTTTCTACGTTTCTGCATAGATATTGTAGGTGTGCATTGTATTATTGTATGTGTGAGTAAATTGGCTGAAATTCATACAAGCGATAATGAATTTAAGAGATTTGGTACACTAAATAGATAGGTCGTGAATTTTTTGGTTTTGCACATCTTTTGTGTTACACATATGAGAGGGAGTGAGAGTGAGGGAGATCAGGATGGAAGTGAAATGAGTGGGTGGCAGAGGCAAAGCCTGGGTGGGGATGTAAGAAGACATTAGAAAATGTCTATTCCCCCTCTCCACATCTTGGTGGGAGCATATCCATCTTCTTAATTCTCATAGCCCCATCTGAACTTTGCCCCCATCACTTGCTTTAGTTTCTCTGTCTGTCTGTCTGTCTCTCTCTCTCTCTCACACACACACACTGCAAAAAGATGTGCAAACCCACAAGTGTCACAATCCACCTATTTAGCAACTATGAAGAAAGAACTAAAAGGCGGAGCCAAGAGTCCAAGACAGACACAAAAGGTGAAACCATTTTATCTATTAAAAATAATGGATTCAATTGCTTTTATTCCTTCAGTCTTCACTAGCACTAAAAACTAATTCCTCCTTTTGTTGCACGATTAATTGGAATCATCTGGTTTCCCTTTCATCAGTCTTGTTTCCCTCTGGTTTGGTGGTTTTTTCAGGACTATATAATTTGAAAAGTCTTAAGCATCTGTTTTCCTACAGTCAGACTTGTTGGATTAGTATAACCACATCTAGGATTCCTTTGTGGCTTTGTTGGAATGAATGTGTGTCTGCCAATGCAGAAAATGGCATGGTGACCTATTAGTAGCTATCAACAATAGTAGAATTTAACACTAAAGACGAACTGATCAATCCTTTGGTAGGGCTAGCCATGTGTCAAGCCTGGGAAGTTTAGGTTGAGAGTATCATGCTAGTCAACATCATGCAATCTAGATCTAGTCTACCAATTCATTTAATTTGAAAGAAATAATGTACTACCTAAGTTATATTAAGATAATATAAAAATTGTAAAAATATATTTTAACCCCTGCATTATAGCAAATACTGATATACCTAAGCACATTTTAGAATTAATAAGAATATACTCGAGATTGAAAACCAATCCAAAGTTATTCTATTGGGATGTGTTATGTTTTGGTTTGACATATATAATAATGGAGGTGCTGGAAGTAAAGTTTGTAAAATGATTCTCTCTCATCTTCAAGTATCATGTGTGTGGAACAGCTGGTTCCAAGTTGTATCATTACTGATTTTTATGGGCCCATTAGTAACATTATCACTACAGATGCTTAAACCATACCATGCCTTAGTATTGGACCTTTCAAATCTATGTAGAAACCAATTGTAAATTTCTGAAATACCTTACCAAAAAATAAAGAACAGTAATCATCTAAAACCAATTAAAAAGCTGCAAGCTTTTCTTTGTTATCTTATTTCCATGTTGTGACTTGTATATGAAATTAAAGGAACCTTGAATTCTAAATGTCAAATACATGTCTATAGAGGATCTAGTTCTGGAGTTGTCTTAATTATACAATTTAAAGGTGCAAATTTACTTTGAACATTGGTTACATTTGTAGAATTTTAAGCATTGATTTCGGTATTAATGTATTAAATATTGTTGACTCGCTAGGGGAAATAATTCATGGAAATTTTAGGAAGTTGGAAATCATAATTTACTTATTATTATGATATTATTCTCCAGGAACTAAGAGACCAAATTGGTTATTTGAGTTGACCGGTTCCTTTGATTCAGATTAAAAAGTGGGATGTTTGAAATTATAAGAGTTGCATCCGTACAGTTAATGGTTTTAAATATATGGCTACAGTTGGATTGAATATGCCTTTTTCTTTGCACACTTCAATCAGACTGTTGTTTCTGTAACATTCATATGAAGTTTTGCATCTTTTGATCTTATAAATGTATGTGTGTGTGTGTGTTTGTGTATTTTGCAGAATATCATTGGCCAGGAAGCCGGGAAAAGCGTGATTGAGGAATATCTAAAGCGGAGAGGTCATTCAGATATCTACAACAGCACCTCAGATGCTCCAACTTCCAAATTACATGCATATGTCAAGCCACCCTCCAATGAGGGTTCGGTCAGCGGAACCAAGAAACCATTTAAAGCACCAAAAGAGGTTACAGCTTCCAGTAATCAGGAAAATCGAAACCCAACTGCGGCCATGGAACCAAGAAACACACAAAAAGGTAACCAAGGTAGTTCTAAAAAGAAAAAAGCTGGGAAAGTTGTTTCACTTGCAGAGGCAGCACAAGGTTCAATTATATTCCAGCAGGGGAAACCATGTTCATGCCAAGCCCGACGACACAGGCTGGTGAGTAATTGCTTATCTTGTGGGAAGATAGTATGCGAGCAGGAAGGAGAGGGGCCTTGCAGTTTTTGCAGTGCCCTTGTGCTGAGGGAAGGAAGCACGTATGCTGGGCTTAGTGAAGGAGGTGTGGTTCCCCTATCAGAGGCTGAGGCAGCAGCTGAAGCTTACACAAAGAGGCTTGTTGAATATGACAGGAATGCTGCAGCACGTACAACAGTTATAGATGACCAGAGTGACTACTATGAGATTGAGAGCAACAGCTGGCTGTCAATGGAGGTATATAATCAATGGCAATCTGTATAGTTGTAATTGTTAGGATGAGAACTTTGTGTTGTCAAATCAGAATTTGAAGATATGTCAAGGGGCAAAAAAGCAAAATAACTTCTTAAATGACTAACTCACCAATTAGAATTCATAATCATGCATTCTTATCGTTACTCTTTAGGGAACAATGTCTACATGTTTTGATTTATGAAAAAGATTTTTTGATGCATGAAATTATTTTTAGATTAAATATATTTAAATAGGAATTTTGACAAAAACGCTAAGTCTCCATCGATGTGTCGATCATTTGCAAAATATGTTCATCGGAGTCTAGAATGCTTCGGTCGAAGCCCTGGTGCCAGGCCCCAGGCCTGTGAGTGAAAAGTTTTTATAAACTTCTCTAAATCAAAATTCCAAGAGGTTTAGGTTTACTTTTTTCGATTACAACTAAGAAACCCTAATTCTTTGGACTCAAATACACATACATAGATAAAGATATCTCTACAGACGTTATTGAGAAAGCATATAGCGAGATCATATATTTTAGAGAGCATACTTTTCTTTTCATCATCTAGCATTTTGCATTAGATAATGACCTATTGTTCAGAGTGTTGATCGTCAACTTGTGAGGTTCAAATTGTCGTCAAAGCCAAATCACACAAACAAGCAACAACTGGACATAAACTAGTCATTGGAGATCAAAAGTCTGTGGATAAGCTGATAAAGTGAGGAGCAAGTCTGTCAATGGATCGGCTGGAAGATTTGGAGTTGATCTTGCATAAGTCTGAGTCAGAGGGGACTAAGGGATTCTTAAGTTAGAGTTTACTAACTTAGTCTGTAATCTCTTTCTCATATTTGTTCATTTTAATTTGCCTGGATTAGGTCCGTAATCTTTTTCTGTTGGGGTTTTTTCACGTAAAAATCGTATGCTTACTTGCGATTATTTGGTTTATTTATTTTTGCTGTCTATATTTAATTGATTCATATTACTGTGTTCTAAGTATAATGTGATAATTTAAAATTCATTTATTGTTAGTTAAAATTGGAATCTATTCATCCCCATCTAGATCTATTTTGGGCCTTGCGCCAACTCTGTATTAGAGTCTCGGGTAATGGTCCTATATTTCTCTCAGTAATCACTTAGTATGTTGCACACTATGTAATATGTGACCTTGTTCTTCCACTTTCAGGAAAAGGAACTTCTAAGAAAGAAAAGAGAAGAGATTGAAGAGGCTGAACAAGCCAAACGAAATAAAGTGATTATGACCTTTGACTTGGTTGGGCGCAAGGTTGTATTCTTTGCCAGACTTACTACTGTCCTTTTTGTGATAGCTTGTTGGTTTTCTTCGTTTATGAATTCTTTTCTAACTGCAATAAAAAGTGGATATGGGTACAGAATCTACAGATATGGCTCTCTCAAGGTTATTTATTACTAAATTTATTTTCAATTATTTACTGAAAAATCTCCTCTACCATCCCCAACATTTGTATAACCATATTGACTAGTGAAATTTTGTTATATTTAGTAATTTCTTTGTTTTTTCACTTGACCCCTGTTCATTCTAACAAGTTATATCTTTCGAAAAAGTCATTTTGCAATGTTAGTTTAGTTTTACAGTGTATAAGGCCATCGTAATCACATAACAAATAGAAAGTTATTTTATTTTATTTTGGGTGGTTCGACTGGAGAACTTGGGAACTTAATCACAATGCTAATAAATCTCCCTTTGTGTTTCACTTACAACAGTTCCCCGCACCTTCACAATTGCTCTGCTACTTGGAATACTCTACTGAAGTAATTTCTTTCCCTTCATGTTTTGCAGGTTCTTATGAATGAAGATGATGTTTTGGAATCAGAAATGGAGAACAGAATTCTACGACCACCTGATGAAAGAGAAGTAAACAGAATTAAACCAAACCCAAACCTTAAAATACAGCCAATATTTTTGGACCCAAGCCCCAGCAGAAAGCCTGTAAAGGGAAATAATTCGAACAAAGGCCTATCTAACGGCTTGTGCTTGGAGATCAGTGGGAGAGTGCAGCATAATACCAGTCCATTAAACGTTCTATGATGGACAACCAACTGGAGGAAACTGTGTTAAATTGGAGTCTTCGGCATGTGCTATCTGGAAATTAGGGTTTGCTGGTGGAATATAATACCGAATTTTCTCTAGATTTCATTGAGATTTGTCTAGCTTACTAATTGTTTGGTGCTCTTTCTTGGCATGACTCGTTTGATCAGCAAAACACTGCAGACTAAAAAAGATTTTCTTTTGGGCCCCTGCAGTTGCAGTATTAATTGAAGATGTGATTATTGATAGTTCCAGATTAAGAGTGGTTTTGTAGTAGTTGGCCTGTGATGCACATATAATCAGTTATAATGTTGATTTCAATTGGACGGAAAATGGTATTTCTTGTTCCACCTTCTTCCAACTGTTGTGGCATTCACATTTTTTGCATTTTTATGTCCATCTTTGGGCACATAGATTATGTTTGCTTGTGTATATCTGAAATTTTAGGGATTCTAATTTTGTAGAATTGCAATTTAAAGTTAGAATGAATCCATGATTCATGATGGTACAAATTTAAATTCATTTTACATAAGTATATATAGCATTAAACATATAAAAGTTATAAACTATTCTTATATTTCGGTTCTTCGGATTAGTAGAACTTTTGCCCAACTCCCACTCAAAGTAAATTTGGGCTCTAAAGTTTAAACCCAGCCCTGTCAACATGGTCTCAAGTAGGTACTTTGTCCACTCTCGCATAATTTTTGGGTGGGTATTGGGTTAGACCCACCCAAGTCCCAACCCTACCGACAAATGGTCGATAATGGCGACTTAAAACAGTTTACTTCATGCAGGTGAGACGCTGGGGGCACAAGGAGAATGGGGTGGTCCTTGAAATCATTCCAGATTTTACATGGAACAAGAAAAGAAGTGGCAGGAATAATGTAAGGCAAAGGTTAGATGGGGCATTGTGTAGTTTGGTATAGAACTGATGGATTAAAGCTTGAATAAATGAAATTAGGAATTGATTAAGCAGTTGTGTCATCAAGATGATTTGGAGCTTATCTTGAAAATTCTTTGAGCTCTAAACATGGGGAAGATAAGTTGGTGTGGAGTTGTACCAAGAATGGGTAATTCTTAGTGAAGACAGCCTATCAACATAATGACCAACTCAAGTGCAGAGAGGAATGCACCAGAAGTATCAAGAGTTTTGTGGCCTAGCGGTATCTCTTCAACCGCCTAAATAGATGGTGAGGGTTCAAGTTCCCAAAGGAGTAAAACCGGGGTGCGCGTTTCTTGTCAAAAAAAAAAAAAAAAAAACAGAAAAAAAAGAAGAAAGGAAGCGGAGTGGACTCTCAAGGGACAACAGAAGCGGAGTGGACTCTCAATTTTGGAAGCAACTGTGGGGATTTTGAAGTAGAGTATAAAATTACAATTTTTGTGGAGGTTGTTTTGGATTGTAAAAGCAATAAAGATTTCTTTTTCAATTCATCCATGGAGTAGAATGCCAAGTGTGGTGCAGTAAATTATGGATCATTTAAAGATCGCTTGTAAGAGAGCTATGGAAGTTGTGGAAATCATCTCCCATGTGGATTGATATTAACCCTCAAATGTCTATTTCTTGGCTTTAATGATGAAGGAATTAGAAGCAAGTGGGAAAATGGAGATTCTTTGATGGGTATGGAAGCCTTCATTGCTTGGTACCAGTGGAATTCAAAAAATAATTTGGTTGTCAATGAAAAGAAATGATTAGAAATCGCTTTTAATTTAATTAATGACAAGGACAAAAGAAGAAGAAAGTATTGTAATGTCCAAATTGTCTATGCATGGAAATATGGAAATATATGTAATTAGGGGTGATAATTCGTGTTAGCGGGTAATATTCGCATTTTGTAGACCTATAAAATATTTTGTTAAACATGTCAATTCCATCGCAACCCATTTAATAATCGTGTTATACTCTCTCAACACGAATACAATCTTTTTATTAGAACAAATTACATGGTCATATAACTCATATTAATCTAAGTATAAAAATAAAATACAATGAAAATTGAGGTAATAGAAAACAATTTTCATGAAAATGAGAATAATTTGGACAAATTCAATTATAAAAAGGCCATATATAATATCCATATTAAATTTATATTGAAAGAATAGAAATGTCCAAATTAATTGGGTTAAAACAAGTTATGGGTTTATTGAGTTTTCTTGACACGATTAATTAAACGGGTCAGATTAAATGGGGTCTAATAAGATTAAGTGGGTTAAACTTCAAAATACGAACACAATACGATTAATTAGATAGGTGAACACGATTATGACAAAAACACAATACGATTAATTAAACAGGTTAATGGGTTGACACAATTATGATACGAACACTGTTAGATTATAAAAAGTACTATAATATCCCTTACCTACAAATTAGGGTTTATACACCTACACCTACCCAATTACCATGTATACGTTCACCAACCTTTGTTACCATATATAGAATTACCATAAACATATATGGTTTACTTGTTCACCAAACATAACCCCTCCTATATAAACTCCTTTTGTATGTATTATCAATAAATCAATACAATATACAACTTCTACCTCTCTCTCTTATTTCTAACATGATATCAGAGCTTTCGATAACTGGTAAACAGTTTATCGTAATCACCGCCGAGGATGGCACCATTAGCCCTATCTCCGGCAGCACGCTTCCGCACACCAAGATATTCATATGCCCCATCCAGGGAAGCCTCGTTGTCTAAGTATTCATCCAGGAAACCAACAAGATGCCTCGTTTAGAGAAGCCCCGCCTAGGGATGCCTCGTATAGGGAAGCCTCGTTGTTTAAGTCTTCCCCAGGGAAACCAATGAGATGCCTCGTTCAGAGATGCTCAACATGTTAGATCAGCTTTGTCATCGTATTAACATGCACCTCAAGTGGTAATCCTACTTTTCCATGCACTTCTACGCACAACAACGGTAGTCCCGCACCTCAACATGTCGAATCAGCTTTGTCACCGCGCCACCACGCGCCATTAGTGGTCATCATGCACTCACACATGCCTCAATGTGTCGAATTTTCACAACTCTGTTGCCACGCGCCATCAATGGTTATCATATGTTTCCCAAAGCACCATCAACGTGATGAATCTTCACAAATTTGCCATGCGCTACTGTGCCCCAAGTGGTCTTCATACTCCACCACCGCTTTTATGATCTCGTCTAAAAACTCAAGATGGGAGTTGGGGGGGGGGGGGGGGTCTATTAGATTATAAAAGTACTATAATATCCCTTACCTACAAATTAGGGTTTACACACTACCTTTGTTACCATGTATATACTTACCATATACATATAGGGTTTACTTGTTCACCACACATAACCCCTCCTATATAAACCCCCTCTTATATTCATTAGCAATAAATCAATACAATATACAATTTATATCTCTCTCTTATTTCAAACAAACGTGATTAAGGTCAATCCAAACCCGCTAATTTCTAGTCATGTTGACGGAGCATGTCAAATTTTGCCCCCTAGAAACCAATTTAAAACTAAAACTATTATTGAAATAAGAATAAATTATGGAGCAATAAATACAAAGAAGCAGCAAATAAGTAACGGATTATCTGGGTCTATTAATGAAGAAGATATGGGGTGAGTCGAGTATAACTTCTCGTTGGTATGTCATTTTAATCAACATATTCCATTGGTATACTTATATTAAAAAGAGTAATGATATATTTTCTGAATTTGAAAGATGTCGAATAGGGATGTGGACCCTACCACATGATATAATGATGACATCATATAATGAGACTCACACTACCGCTCACCACTTATATCACCCACGTTGGGCCTCCAAATTAGGAAGATGTACCATCTCAAATGGTAAATGTTGATTGAGTGGGGTTGTCATTCGATAGGATCCTTTGTTATAAACGGGTCATGTTGTACCCATTTTATACAGCAAACGACGCTGTTTAATGCATGTTTTTTCAAACGGTAATTTAAGTGTGAAAAGAACTATCCCAACGGCGTTAATGTAAATTATTTTTTAGAAAAAGTCTAAATATTCACTGTATTTCCGCGATACTCTCTCTGGAATCATCTCCAACACCTCGCTTCCAACACCTTCACTCTTTTAAATTTTTCGATGTCAGTGACACCCTCGGTCGGCGTTTGTTGAAGAAAGACATCAAAACTTACCTAATTTAAGGTATTATTTCTCTGTATTCTTCCTATGATGATAAACCCTAGTTTTACATTAATATAATTTTGCAATCACTTAATTATTCTTAAGTGTATGTTTTACCAAGAGTTGCTAAGGTAATTTTCTTTGTGGTATTCCTCCTCCATATTGATGGTTTAGGGTTCTCTTTGGAAATTATTTCTGGGTTTCGCCTAGATATGTTTGATTTTGCTTATTCTTCCTATATATTGGAGATCTAAGGTTCTTGATGAACATTTTTTCTGGGTTTCACCTATAGGGGTTTTAGCATATAATATGACTTTTATGCTTTGAGTGAATTGATTCCAACCACCCCCACCCCCCCCCCCCCCCCCCCCCCCCCCCCAAGATTCTAGTTGTTTGAGTATTACTTTTTAGGGACTTTAATAGAATTTGGGTAGGATCGATCTAGCTAATGCTTCTATTTGTTTTGATGGTTCAATGAATGCTTGATTAGAAACATGTAAAATGAAATTATTTTATCTAATTCAAAAATAAAGAAATGATTTGCAGAAGAAAACCTCAAGGAATAATTTCCCAAATGCACTCTTTTTGAGAGTCAAAGTCTCATAAAATTGATAGTTATATATATATATATATATATATATAGTAAGTGTGACTTAACTTAATCTGATGTTTTACTCTTTGAAATGATTTTACTTAGAATACAAGTAGAATTTTCAAACTCTTAGTAAGGTGGCATTTGTAACTTGTATGTATGGATTTATTGTCCTTCCCTTCAACAGCTCCCATTTACAATGTCATAATTCTTGCATACGATTGGAATCTCCATCTCCCTAGGCATGGCTATATCTTAATCTGATTTTCAACACCATTTTATATAATTTTCAACATTCTTAATATAAGAGTATAACAAAATTGGAACCCTTTTTATACAACAAAGTTATCATTTTAACTTGTTTTAGCTTTACAACAATCTTAATATCCCACGTGACTTCCTACTCAAGGCATCGGCTACTACATTGGCATTCCTCGGGTGATACTGCACATCAAAGTCGTAGTCCTTCCTATACCCCATTCATCGTCGTTGCCTCAAGTTCAAGTCCTTTTGTGAGAAAAGATACTTGAGACTTTTGTAATAGGAGAAAACCTCAAACTTCTCCCCGTACAAATAATGTCTTGACCCCTTTAAAGCAAAA